TCTAGTGTGTATACACACATTACATGGAGCGTAAACTGCCATTGCAAGTCAGTATATGACCTCTGTCATGACAAGGTTAAGTCAGTCTTCTGATCCATGGTTAAAGTAAACTTTTTCCCCAGTTACTTGGGTACCGAAGCTCCATAAAGTATGTACGGCACTTGCAGAGATGTTGGCAGGTTTTGATGTGGTTAGTCAATACAGGGTATTTTCCTTGGCACAGTTTGCCTAAGGCATGTGCATGCCAAGAGCTGACTTTTTTCTGAGCCATGCATAGAGTTTAGGTTTCCCCTTACTCATGGCTCATTCCATAAGCTCTTTTTGCGCCTCCGGTGCGTACAAATATAACCTCATCTCATGATCAGGCGGCACGTCCTCCAGACTAATCCATGATTTCGTCAGATTTGATAGCTGCCTGTCGGACCAGATAAATCAGTGACCTGGATAACGTCTTAAAGTCAAAGCTCAACTACTGGCTGTGTTTGGCTCTACTACCAAATTACTCCATGTGGTGTAACTCAAGAAAGGTTAGATCAGGTGACTTTCACAGCGAAGCTTAAAAGCGAAGTAAAGGTTGTGTTGTGATTGCTATGGTGAAATGAGACGGGGTCTTAGAGATCGGACAAGTGCTTTTGAACGTGCCGCAGATGTCGTGTTCCATGTTTTCAATTTCCAAAGCGCACTCACAAAAGCTCAGGGTTTGTCTCTTAAACACTCACCAAATAATTACATAGGAGCAGTCAATCAAGGTGGCAGCGTATCATTGCCGTCTTGTAACTCCAGGGTCTCTGGTACAATCCTGAGCTCAGGTTACGGTCTGTGAGGTTAGGAGTTTCTGTTCTCTGGTGTCTGCATGGGTTTCCTCTGGGTTTTCTTGTTTCCCCCCACCAGTAGGCAGAATGCCTATGCGAAACTCTTAGGAAGCTGTGAATAGTGTACTGCAATGGACTGGCATCCCATCCAGGGTGTATCTGCTGGGCGATCTGGTAAAATGATCAAATGTTTGATATTGCACTCAATGCCAGCAACGAAATATCATCCACCAAGGTTTTCCAGACAAAAATGGCACGTTTTCGAGTTAAAATGAAAATATTTGACGGAAAACATTACCCTGTTTCATCCAAGGACTTTTCCACTACAGGTTTGCGTTGCCACTTTGAAACCAGGACAGACTAATCAATATGCAGGCCACATACTGCAAAATATCTTAATAGCTTACGTTATTTGTTACGTTGATTGCCAGTTCGATTTTTATGGAGTGATCACCTATTGAAATTATGGACGTTATAATAACGATAGTGTTGTGTTATCCCCTTATATTGCATCAGTGCTTTTAATTACTGCTTTTCAATTTTCCAAAGCATATCGAGAAACTAGCTTAAAACGAATCATTTATACAGCAGTACAAAAAGCTAATAAATCATATATTTCTGTTAAATCTACTGTAGCAGTTGGGTTTGTTCAGTTGGAGTATAAAAAAAAGTGAGTTTGTTTGTTTGGGTTATCAGCAGTTTTGTAAGAATTACCTGATTGGCGTTAAGTTATATTTTCATATTTTTCCATCATTTAAAAAAAAAAAAATCACTCCTTTTCCATATGGATTGCATATATATACGATTGAAACTTTTGGGGTTTTTTAAATACTGTATCCATCTCTCTCTGTCTCCTGTCTCTCTCTCTCTTTATATAAATATATATATATATATATATATATATATATATATATGGCAACAGACTTAACATGTATAATACATACTGTGTTTGATAAACATGTCTTCTAAAAAGCAAGCGAGGTCAATTTTGCCATGTTGTTTACCATCATGCTTGGCAGCTAATATTTATTTACAGTGTCATTCGAATCCAGAAACCCTGAATAGCCGGACATTGGCTGTGGTTATTACTGGCTTTGGTGTGATCAAGAGTGTTGTTTGTGTATGGATCTGGGGCTGAATTCATTGACAGAACGGCACTGTGACGATGTTCCCTCATCTTCTTATTCAGACCGCTATCTTTGCTTGCTGTGTATGTGGGATTGTGTGTGTGTGTGTGTATGGGCAGATGGAGGTGTCTGACATCCCTGTCCCTTATTGTCCCCGCTGTCTGTCTCTTCGTCCTCACACTGGGCATAATTAACGCCTTTCAGAGGACAGTATTATGACAGACTTAATGAAGCTTTTAATGGAAATTAGTGTGACTTGGCTGGAAGCTGCCAATGCGAACAGGGCTTTGAAAAACGAACCCGCTCGCTGCGGCTCCTTGATTGAAAAGAAAAGTGTATGTAGGCTGGCGAGGGAAACACACACACCGCTCACTCTATATATCTTAATATACTGACTCGGAGGCAGCAGCGCCTGAAATTTGCATTATGCCACTGTTTTCATATTTGAGAAACTGTGGAGCTTTATTTCCCCAGGTACAGGTCTGGGCTAGGCTGCATCCCAATCCAAATGTTAGATGAAATGAGTTGTGAAGGGGAAGTGTAGAAAAGTTTGTACTCCATATGGCCCCGAGCCTAAAGGAAAACATTACAGGGCAAATGATCTGAATTAGTGCATTTATCAAGGAGTAAAACACTACAGCATGTTTTCAAGTAGTTCTTAAATAGTCTATATGCCAAGGGAATCATTTATTCTTTTTATTAATGTGTTTTTTTTTTTAAAAACACTTGATAGTAATGAACAATTCTTCCAAAGGACAGTTTTGGCAATGTAGAACTTTGTTTCTCGCTTATTATGGGTATTTCTTCATGTGAAAACCCTTATGATAAAACACAGATGTGAGTATGTTTCTATTATTGTGCTTATTTATAGCAGGCGTTAGCAGGAAATAACTTATTTACAGATGTTCCACGACGTTAAATCTAACTATAACTGGACAATCAATTTCATGAATAAATAATTCATTTAAAATTGTAATTGTTGGAAAATTACTGCGGTGTAAGAAGAAGAAAACACGTCAGGATGCGCAGTTTATAGTTAAAAAATTCAGCTTCTGGGTAGTAACAGTAACTCTGCATCACATCTGGCAGGCTTGGCATCACCGTGATAATGACTATTTTCCTATAAAAACACACCTCCAAGTGTTTTAACACAAGTCCAGGCTCATTATTGAGGCATTTATCTTAAAGTATATTAATTAAGAATGCACTGCATTGGATGCAGAAGCATTTCCTGTTTGTTTGACCCTATAATGGTTCTACCTTGTTTCCTCGCTTAAATTTCCACTAAAGCTTCTTTTCCTAAATCACTTTGGTTGTTCGAATAGTATTCATCTTTAACCCGTAAAGCTGTTTAATGCTGTTCTGATTTGATGACGTGGAATCTTACTGTTTGTGTGATATTTTGCATCTGTTGTTGTACATGACTGACGGTTGTCTCGCCTGTATGGGAATCTCTACAGCTCTGTGTCAGCACGGATGCAAGCACGGAGACTGTATCGGACCCAACAAGTGCAAGTGTCACTCTGGTTTTACGGGAAAGACCTGCAACCAAGGTAAGTGCTTTCAGCTTTACCACTAAGAAAACACACTATATTATGTTCATTTACACACACACACACACACACAGAAAGAGAGAGAGAGAGAGAGAGAGAGAGTACATCACAGATGGCAACAAGAGGAAAACATGTCACTCATTAATTTGCGCAGATGTAGTGCATTTTTTTTTTCTTCTGGTAATAATAATTCCCAATATGACATTGTGTATCCTTTCCTGTTCCTGTTTTTATTTAATTTTATTTTATTTCACTTCAATCAGTCATGTCTCATGTCTCAGTGGGCCAGCAAGTCTCAGTTTGCACACTACTGTCACTCACTGCGTGTTTTTTTGTGTGTGCTATGTACACCATAAAAGGCCTTATTCAGCAGAATGGAGAAGCAATAATATCTGAACTTCTTCTCAGCCTTTAAGCGATACAATCTCAACAACTGGCCTCAGATAACTCAGCCCTGAATAAAGATAGCGCTTCAAAGTAATTGCACGGTAAGTGCTCTTAACATCAGGACGCAGCATTGCAGATAACCTTTGGTTTAAAACGGTACGTAACAGGAGACGGCTTTTGAGATTTGAGGAGTGAAACTACTGCCCTAAGAGAGCAATGGGAGAAGGTGTAATTAAAAGGGAGGGAAGAAGGAGGAAAACAAAACCCCTCAGGAATGTGGAACTGAGTGATCTCGCCTTCCAGCCTGACGCAGTTTCGTGTCGGTTCATTGTTAGGGCAGTGGTCATGTCAAAAACACCGAGCACAGGAGACGGAAATGATCGCTTCACATGACTAGACCAGATAGTCATGTTACAGAACATATTACTGTGGAGCTAATCCAAGTGTATAAAATAGCCTTGTCAACGAACTAAGCATGAGTCGGGTGTGTATTACGAAGTCTCCATTTATAGAGCGAATGTAAACGTTTAAACAACAACGTGAAGACATTTCATTTCAAATAACTACACGTTTAGAGCCGTATTCAGGGTTGAGTTACATGCACGTCGGAAGGAGTTAATATTTTTTCATATTCAGACCTCAGATGTAACTAGGGATTTTAGCACAACACAGACAGCCGTGTAGGCGTTGCCAAAAACAGAGGCATATCTCAGTTATGCACAGTTCTAAACTTGAACTTAAGCCCAGGCTTCTTGCGTAATATTTGCTCCAGCGAGGAGCAGTAAGTCAGACACCACTGACTGACAGTTTGATATGACCACAATATGTCTCATTGAAATATTATGTTTTGGTCAGCAAATACAGAAAAAATAAATAAATACTATAGAATGCCAATAGAGACCAATATTAAATGCATAAATATCCATCCATCCATTGTACCGCTTATCCTACACAGGGTTCCAGAGCCTATCCAGGGGACTCAGGGCACATCCTGCATGGAGTGCCAACCTATTGCTTGGCACAATCGCACACGCACTACGGACAATTTGGAAATTCCAAATCAGCCTATAGTGCATGTCTTTGCACTAACATCCGAAGCATGGGGAGAACATGCAAACTCAGAGCGGAGGCGGGATTCGAACCCTCAACCCCAGAGGTGCGAGGCAAACGTGCTAACCACTAAGCAACCACGCCCCCTGAATGCATAAAAATCACACCATTAATTAAGATTTTTTTTTTCCCCATGCTTTGCCTAAGTATTAACGTAACTTTTAAACTTAACTCACCAACACCGAATGCGGTTCTTAGGGAGTTAGATCCGGCATGATCGCATATAATAAAATTGGTCAAATAGTTTATGGTTACATCTGCACATGTTGTGTATTTATGTAGTTTTGCGTACTGTTACTGTATGTGTTGCACCATGGTCCTAGAGAAATGACATTTCGGTCCAATGTATACACGCTACGTATATAGCGGAATGACCATCAAACCCCGCTTGACTTCACTTAATTTGATTAATATAAAAAAAAAAAACGAGCAAACAAACAAAGTGATCAGATTGGAAGGTTGAACCTCCTTTTCTGAATAGGAAATAAAGATTCCCTTTTTGGGAAATAAATAAGTACATTTTGGATTTTTTTTTTCATTCAAAAGCCATGGAGGATGCCCTTAACTTAATACTTTAATTGTATGACCAATCTGATCAAGCTCAGATCATTTTCTAATCTCTGCTTCCAAAACACATCGAGACAACGAGCACATACTGTGGCGGCATATTTATTTAGATGATTAATTATTACGATAGGTTCCCTGGTGGACTAGTGGCTAGCATGCGGCGCTCTCATCGCCACGGCCCGGTTTGATTCTCATTCAGCGAACCGACCCCAGCCACTGGAGGGTTGCAAGTGTCAGTGCACTCTCATTGCTGATTTCAAGCCTGGAAAATGGGGAGGGAAGGGCATCCGGCATAAAAACTTGTTCCAGAATTAATATGCGTACGGGTGATCCGCTGTGGCGACCACGAAACGGGAGCAAGCGAAAGAGGAAAACAAATTATTTCTACTGTAATTATTAATTATGTTCGCTTATTTTATTTATTTATTTTTTTGTATAGGAATTATTTTTGGATTGGAAATTTAAAAAGTTAACTTAATTAATATGACTTTTAAGTAGCAGCCTTATTTGGATTCTCAAATGTAAAAGCAAAGCTGCTTAATTTGAAATAATTATGAAATGATTCGCTCTGACTGAGAGACGGAGGTGATTATTTGCTTCAGTTGGTTCAATAATAGTGTGTAATTAACCATGATTTCAATCCAGAGAAAGCTAATCTTACTATTTTAGCCGTCATGGTGCAGCTTTAGTGTTTGATCAGGAGTCTTGCGCAGTCCAGACTTACTGGTTCAACTGCTTGCTTGGTTTCATAGTGAAATCGAGTGAAGTGATTTACAAACAGCTTTGGTGGGAAAATTCCAAATGTGTAACTAAAGCCAGTGTGTTGAGCTCCCTTTCCTCATCTGTCCCTGTAATGTGTTGATTGCTAAACAGCCCTCATGCAAGATAGCCTTTAATGAGTGGCTGTTAAAAAGAAAAGTGTCTACATACTGTATGTACACAGACGATATTATTTGTTAATATAATAGACGAATTTGTTGTCTTTACGGCTTCAAATCAAGACATATGTTTAAGATTGAACTTAAAGTTCCCTGTAGAATTTAGTACCGCTAGTCCAGTTGTTAGTCCAGTTACCTCAGTGCCATGTATGTAACCTGTTCTGTGAGATAATAAATAAAACTATCAGGTCCTGCAGTTAAAGCCGAATCTATCCGATAAACCCGATACAGTCGTCTGGCCATGTGAAGATATAACATACCCTGTGAACACATCCTTTTAAACTATTAAAAAGACTCTACGTAGAATAAATTAAAAAGTTGATTTCCCCAGAAAATACTGAAATGTCCTAGAGATTTGTTTATCCTCATAAAAAACCAACATCTATGAAACTCCTGCCATTCCAAATAGCTTGTCGGTTAGTTAACTGCTAGCAAAACTAGCTCACAGGTCAACATCAGTGAGATTTCAGTATCTGAGTCTTGATTTACATTGTCAAAATTCTTAGCTAATTATTTTACAGTAAGCAACCCTGTGCAAAGATGCTGTATGAATACAATGACAATTGTTTCATACAAAGTTGAGACAGTAGCTATTTTCGACAAAATAAAACGAGCAACAAAGTCTATAATCTCTTAAAGAATTCGCTCAACATGACATACGCTAATGATATATCCATGCCTCAATGCCAGTGACTCGAGTAAGTCTTGGTGTGGCACTCCAAATTGAAGTGTAATATTATCTCCCTGCTTAGGTTCCTTTGGCCACGGTCTAATTCAATTGATTTCTCGATCTCATTCATTATAATCATAAAATACTATAGTGCTCATGAGCTTTGTCACAACATAGATCTTGAGAGATTAAATTCCTCAATATAATTTTTTTTTTTTTTTTTAATAAACGTCACCTTAGCAACTCCATTTTTTTGTTCACTGCTAATAACAGGTAAGTTAGCTCACTAACAAGCAAACTACACAGGCTTAAAAGCCATTGAGCCTATTTTGTGATGCTTTCTAGTATTAAAGTATCTAAAATGGTAGCTTTCAATTGAAAACGTGACGTTGTTTTTTTAGTTTGTTAAACATACTAAAAGACACAAACACTCGCATATTATGAGCGTGTCTCGATCAGCTCCCTAGGTTGTGAGTCAGTATATTGTGTACATGAGTTCCAGCTCACTACACATTGGGACACTGATAACTCAAGTTTCGGCGATATGACTACGTGCTCGCTTTGTAAAACGTCACCAAAAATTCCAAAACGTAAAAGTATTTGCGTTTCATACGTCATGTAAATATGTTGGCTTAATCAGACGCGTTTCTGTCATGGTACTTCGAGCAGGATTGTAGACAAGCTAGTGGACTTATAAAAATACAATCATTAAACACTTAAACCATAACGTAAGCAACCGTTTGAGAGCTACAGCAACAATAACAAGCTACTTACATTTGTAGACGAAGTTTGGCTGAGAGTTCGTCCCCCGTTTGAAGCTGAGAGGCTTCAGAAAACATGACGTCATTTCCAGTAAGGGAACATAGCGAGCATCGATGCTCCCTGGTTTTTACGGTGCATTGTGGGATTTTTTAGGGCGTGATCATTCCAGTGCCCTGGAAGGATTTTGCGATTGAAAATGGCCGACTCCTTGATCGGTGCCCTGACTACTGAACTACTGAGCTGATTGAGACACACCCCGTATAATCAGAATTAGCCATCCAAATGAAACAATGTTATAAGATAATGACGCATTAGAAATACGTATCAACCTGCTAAATGGATAACTGCGCTGTTAACGAAGTCCGTCAGAATGAACGAATCGATGCTAATTGAGCAATACTAAACACAGCAGCCCAATCAGTAATGTGAATCTGGCTTTTAGACTAAATTCCAATTAAAGCCTCATTAGAGTTAACCTCTCTTGATCTCCATTATCTGTAAAGAGCCGCAGTCGCTCATCATATCTTCGGAACATGTCATACTCCTGATGTGAGGCAGATGCGTGAGGAAATGCAAATAAACCGATTAAATCGCTAATCCATTTAGACGCACTGACACCTGGCCGCGCTTCACTCGGAGCGGATCAGATCATTTTAATAAGATGATTATTTGCTGTAGGCGACTTTGTAAATGAGAATCAGCTCACCTGCTGCGAGCATTCTCTGTAAGCAATGTATTACGAGCCCCATCTAAGGGCAAGTGTGCTTACATTTCCCTCTTTGTATATTATCTTGTTAACAGATGGTGGTGAGCGCACCATTCACATCTCCGTGAATGCTTCTATTATGAGAACGATAGCTCATATATGCAATCAGTCCTCTGGCTCCAGCTATAGCTGATAAGCATGTGTACAGTTTAAAGTTAACAAAGTCTCCAGTCCAACTGTTTAATGTGGGATAAGAGCTCGTGTTTTGCACAAACCATACACGGCAGACTGGCTGTTTTCCTGCGATATTTATAACTTGAAAGCGAAATGACGCTGAGCGGATTATGGGACAGGCTTTACATGTCATCATATAATTAGCCATAACGTAGCTGCATTGTTCAATTACACCACAACATGCCTTCCTTTGTTCCCCGGCTCGGTCAGATTGAGCATTTAGGAATGCTAACCGGGATAAAAACAGCGCAGCTGAGTCTGATGGACTGCAGAGGTGGGGCAAACACTCAAACCTCTCCAAGCCTTCAAACCCTTCCAAGCATTTTCACATCCGTCTCCTATCCCAACCCCCACCCCCACCCCGTCCCTCCACGCGCACATACATTTGCCTGCTAACAGTAAATAGTGCTAACTGATGCCGAGGAGGACGGATCTGGACGTGACTGTTGACATGTTTTGACAACAAAACCACACTCACTTTTGTTCAGAGGAAGCAGATGGAGGCCGAGAGACGTGCCTCACTTGCTCACTCACTCACTCACTCAGGCTCTATTCAATCTCCATAGCACAGGAATTTGGCGTTTTGTTTTTTTACAGCCAACTCACACATGGATAATCCTCTTTAGTGCATAATGTCATTCTTGTCCTCTGCAGGAATGTGGACTGGTTAAAGGTGTGGGATCTGCTGGAGATTTGCACTGACGTGATCCTGTGTGCTGTGTTGTCTGTGTTCCCTTTCCTCTCTTTAACCTGTTAGCTGAACAGCAGGACTATGTAAACCCCCCAATCTGGGACAGTCTCCCCCCTCTATTTGTTCCCATGGACCATCCGGCGGTGGGGGTGCCTTCGGAGGGTGAGCTAATCCGATGGTCACTGGGTGATTCCTCTTTTCACCCTTCTGCCCCCCCACAGCACCTGCATGGCGCAGTCCGTTCAGCCGAAGCATAGTGAATACCCCCTCTTTTCCCTCCTCTTTCTTCCCGTAGTAGATCCCAGAGCCTGGATGGGCATGGCCGGAATGACATGCTGAAAGCCGAGCATGCCATCTCTCTTTCTCTCTCTCTCTCTCTCTCTCTGTCTCAGTCTCCTCCGCTCTCTGAGTCTCTCTCTCTCTCTCTCTCTCTCTCTCTCTCTCTCTGTCTGTCTCAGTCTCCTCCGCTCTCTGAGTCTCTCTCTCTCTCTCTCTCTCTCTCTCTCTCTGTCTCCC